CCAACACATTTGCAGTGTCACCAATTAGGTCTACTCATTTCAGTCCCTCTCACCTGTTTTAGTCCTTCCTAAACCAATGCAAGCTTCCATCAGTCGTCAGAATAATAACGGATAAAGGCTTTGACTTTCAATAGCACTCAGCACTAGTATCTAAGCCTGTTCCTGCTGGAGTCAAGGGGAAATTTTTCAGTGAGAGGGCTTAAGCAATACTAAGTAATTTGGACAATCTCAGACTGCACTCCTCAGTGCTTGAAAGGCTTCTTGGCAGTTTTGTTCATGAAAACGGCCTGCATTTTGGTAGTGTCTTTAATAAACCTACTGGCAACGCAGATTCCAGCTGGTGTAAACCTGCTGAATAGTTAATACAGGGACCCTCCTGGAGGGAAAAGATTGTTAAAAGGAGTAGAAATGCTCTGGGATCCACAGACAATGGAACTGGTGCTGAAGAGGAGGCCTTCTCTTTCCAGAAAACCCCAGCTGGCCCTCAAAATTAACACAGCGCCTGGGGCTTCTCCATTCTAAGGGATGGATCTCAAAGGAAGGGAGCCAGCCTCTCTGTGCAGCACAGGTAACTCAAACATGGGTGTGTACATCAGAGCTCCTTAGAGACTGTGAGCCTGGTCCAGCTCCCAGATACTGAGCCATGACTATTTAGTTCAAATTGTAGCAGCTCATGCTCTTATTTCTGCAGGTCCCTAGTTTAACCCCTAGTGCATTAACCAAGATGACAATCATCACAGCTAAAGCTCAGCCCACTCTCCAAAAGAGGACATGTTTGCACTGTGAATGCTGCACCCCTGGAAAGGACAAGCAGATAAAGAGCAGAAGGAGCCTTGCTGCTGGGGTATCCCCATAAAGAAGCCAAAGGGTACCCTGGAGCCCAGATGGATGGAGAGATTCCTTCCTCTGTGGATCCTTCAGCTCCAGACAGTTTGGGGATGCAAGGAAGCTGTGTCCATTACCCTCTCCCAGGATAAACCAACCTTCCCCGCTGTCTGTTTGCCTATCTGCAAATATATATCATGCTATCCAAATGCCTGGATAGGTTTACGAAGGGTTGGTAAGGCCCCAGCCATCCCCCACCCCCC